ACTATTAAGATTATTGTTATCATACCACTATCCTCTTTATTTGTAATTCTCTACATAATTACAAATATGTAGCAGCAACTTAAGTATTCAATCACAATACACAAATATTCATTTATGTATCCAAATACTTCATACATGAGCAAAATACCTATTTCGCAAAAACAGTTCATTTATACTCATTAAATCTCATGTTATTCATACATTCTCAAATCATTTCAATTTTCATTCTTTGGCAACTATATCAATATTTCATCAATATATGATCATCATAATCCATGAAAAATAATGATTTAAGCATTTAGGTAATCTCATGCTTAACCTACAAGTTGTAAGCAATTAGATGTCAATCCTCACCTCGATTGAGCTTTAAACTTTCCCTTCTTGGTCCAATGGTCAAAGCTTTGGTCAAGGTGGATTTGGAACTGATTCCTTGCTCAAATATGAGTGTTAAACAGCCTCCTCAAGTGCTAGTTCAACCCTTAATCGTTGATACGAAAACAGCCCCTAGAACGGGTGTTTCCCGGTTAACTCGTTTCCTAGTTTTTCCAAGATTTGCTCTAGGTTAGTATCTAACCTTTCCAACAATTAAAGTCACATAATAATAACATTTTTTATACACTTCAATCAGTTTATAATAGTTCTTCAATCATTTATATGATTTAGACAATAGAGAGGAAGGTTTTGGATTCAAACTTACTTTGAATACAAAAACGTATTCTGCGAGGTCGTGTTTTGCTCGGTCGATTTGGAGGCCTTCCACTACTCCGATTGATGCAAACCAGACCTTCGAGGATTCCTCGTCTTGAGAGCTTTCTTTGGGTATATTATACGCCTTATTTGGATGTGTATAACTCGAGATATGAAGCAAACAGTCTCAGCACTCTCACAGCTCGAGTTCACAGACCACTGCTCGTTCCAGATTGATTTTTGGATGATAAGCTCTCTCTCCTCGAACAAAGACCACTCAATTATGAAACTACACTTCAAGAGCTATCCAAGGACACCTCATACACGTTATTTGGTTGAGGATAGCTCCTATAATGAGTGGAGACAACCAGCACACCATTTTGTGCGAAAATAGGGATGGTGGCCCAACATTTGATTCCTATCAAGTCTTGTGCAGCTCCTCCCCATGGTGGTCGGCCAAGGTAAGTTTCCTAACCCATTTTTATTTGTCTTGCAGGTACTAATATCATGTGGAGTGGTTCCCAATTGATCCCAATCATTTTGGGATCCAAATTATCTACCAATACTTCCAAAAATGGGGAAGATGGGTCCTATTGTTTTATCTTTTGTCAAAGATGTCTTTTTGTACTCATCCTAATTTATTTAGCACAAGTCAACTTCCTAAATCACATTATTGATCTCCAATATGTGTAGGCTCATCCCAATAATTTACACGATGAAAATTACAAAAGAATGCGGGTTTGAACAATACAATATTCAATCATGTACTTCGTAAAATATTAATCGTTTCTTCCATTGCTTTGAAATCGGAAATTCAATACATCACTTTTGAATTTTTAAATCGAATTTTCAAGGACGTTCGGGTGCGGTGTCACAAGTTCACCCCCCCTTAACAGGAATTTCGTCCCCGAAATTCACAGCTCTACTCGAATAGGAAAGCATACTGCTTCCTCATCAAAGCCTCCGTTTCCCATGTCTCTTCCTCGACCCGATCGCTCTTCCACAGGACTTTAACCATTGGGACTTCTTTGCTCCTCAGCTTCTTCACCTTTCTATCGGTGACCTTGATAGGTTGAACAGCGTAGTTCAAATCCTCACGTACCTCTACAGGTGGCTTCTCCAATACGTGAGAGGGATCATGCACGTACTTCTTAAGCATGGATACATGAAACACATTATGTATCTTCTCTAACTCAGGAGTCAATTGTAGACGATATGCAACGGCCCCAATCCTCTCTATAATTCTGAATGGACCTATATATCGTGGGTTAAGTTTTCCTCGGGTTTGGAACCGAATGATCCCTTTCCAAGGAGAAACTTTCAAGAATACCTCGTCATCAACCTTAAACTCTAAGGTTCTTCGACGCTTATCTGCATAACTCTTTTGTCTATCCTGAGCCGCCTTGAGTCTCTCTCGAATTAACTTCACCTTTGATTTGGTGACCTCCACCAACTCAGTACCCTCGAGTTTGGCCATGCCAACCTCGTCCCAACATAACGGTGTACGGCACCTCCTCCCATACAATGCCTCGTATGGAGGCATGCCGATGCTTGCCTGATAACTGTTGTTATAGGCAAACTCCACAAGTGCTAAGTGGTTGTCCCAACTCCCCTGGAACTCCAATGCACAAGCCCTCAGCATGTCTTCTAGGATCTGTATAACCCTTTCAGACTGCCCATCCGTCTGTGGATGGAAAGCAGTGCTGAACTTCAACTTCGTTCCCATAGACTCCTGGAATTTCGGCCAAAAACGTGATGTGAATCGTGGGTCTCTATCAGATACAATGGTCACCGGGACCCCATGCAGCCTCACGATCTCATCCGTATACAATTTGGCTAACCTCTCAAGTGGGTAGGTAGTGTTGATAGGCAAGAAGTGTGCACTCTTTGTGAGCCTATCCACAACGACCCAAACCGCGTCATGGTTCCTGATAGTCCGTGGTAAGCCTACCACGAAATCCATAGTCACGTGCTCCCACTTCCATTCAGGGATGGAGAGTGGTTGCAATAAGCCTGCTGGGTGCTGATGTTCTGCCTTAACTTGTTGACAAGTAAGGCACCGACTGATGTACTCGGCTATTTCCCTCTTCATTCCAGACCACCAGTAACTTTCCTTCAAATCACGGTACATTTTCGTGCCCCCCGGGTGCATGGCATAAGCCGATGAATGAGCCTCCTCTAAGATGGACTTTCGGAGCTCATCATCTGACGGTACACACACTCGGTCACGAAATAACAAGAGACCATCATCTCTTTCCCTGAAATCCTCCACCGGCCCCGCTTGCATGCGTTCCCGGACCTTCATAAGTTCTTCTTCGGCTTCCTGACCCTTCTTGATCTCATCAAGTAAAGTGGGTCTCACCTCAAATCGTGCCAATAAGGCACCATCGCTGGTTACCTCCAGTTGGGCTCTTAATGCCCTCAAATTAGTTATCAATGCCCCAGACGAGCTCTTCCGGCTCAAAGCATCTGCCACCACGTTTGCCTTGCCTGGGTGATACTCTATCACTAGATGGTAGTCTTTTATCAGCTCCATCCACCGTCTCTGTCTCATGTTTAGCTCTTTCTGAGTAAACACGTACTTCAAGCTCTTGTGATCAGTGTATATGTGACATGTCTCCCCGTAGAGATAATGCCTCCATATCTTCAGTGCAAATACCACTGCCCCGAGCTCCAAATCATGAGTAGGATAATTCACCTCATGCTTCTTCAATTGTCGTGAAGCATAGGCGATTACCCTCCCATTCTGCATCAGTACACATCCGAGCCCTTGGATGCTCGCATCGCTATAGACATCGTACCCCACACCTTGTTTGGGTAATGCAAGTACCGGTGCCTCAGTCAATCTCCTTTTTAGTTCCATGAACCCTTTCTCACATTTGTCATCCCATACAAACTTAGCTCCTTTACGAGTGAGCTTCGTCAATGGCGATGCCAAAACAGAGAACTTCTCCACGAACTTTCTATAGTAGCCTGCCAATCCAAGGAAACTACGAATTTCCTTGACGTTCTTTGGCCTCTCCCATTCAGTAATGGCTTCTATCTTCTTGTTATCAACAGCAATCCCCGATCCCGAAACCACGTGCCCGAGGAAGCCAATCTCCTTTAGCCAAAATTCACATTTAGAAAATTTGGCATAGAGTTGCTTCTCCCGTAGTGTTTCAAGAACAAGTATCAAGTGCTCCTCATGCTCTTCTTCCCTCTTTGAGTAAATCAAGATGTCATCTATGAACACAATCACGAATCGATCCAAGTATTTATGGAATACTCGGTTCATCAAGTCCATGAATGCCGCCGGGGCGTTTGTTAACCCAAACGACATAACAAGGAACTCAAAATGCCCATACCTTGTGCGGAAAGCACTCTTTGGTATGTCATCTTCCTTAATCTTCAATTGAGGGTACCCCGATCTTAAGTCAATCTTCGAAAACACGGTTGCTCCTCGTAGTTGATCAAACAAGTCATCAATCCTAGGCAACGGATACCTATTCTTGATTGTGACCTTGTTCAGTTGACGATAGTCAATGCACATTCGAAGTGTCCCATCTTTCTTTTTCACAAAAAGAACCGGTGCTCCCCACGGGGAGTGGCTTGGTCTAATGAAACCGTTATCCAAAAGCTCTTGCAATTGGGTTTTCAACTCGTTAAGTTCAGCGGGTGCCATCCGGTATGGCGGTATGGAGATTGGTTTGGTACCAGGCTCGACCTCGATCACAAATTCAATCTCTCTGTCAGGTGGAAGCCCCGGTAGGTCTTTAGGGAAGACATCCGGATACTTACAAACCACCCTCACATCATCGATGTTCGTTTCCTCTTTGGTTTTGTCAACCACGTATGCTAGATATGCGTGGCATCCCTTCCTCATCATATTTCTCGCTCTCACGGCGGATATGATACAACTATTTGATTTGCCGCGGTCCCCCTCGAAGCGTAGGGTGTCCCCCTGTGTGCCTTCGAGTTCCAACACCTTTGTGTAGCAATCTACCCTAGCATGATGCTTTTCTAGCCAATCCATCCCTAGGATTGCATCGAACTCCATCATACTCAGCGGTACGAAATCACACGTCAAGGTTTGGCCACCGATTTCCACCATACAAGATGGATAGTAATTGTTTCTTTCAACGTCTTCCCCTAGTGGGGTTGATACCACTAAGGTTTGTGTCATTGGTATTGATTGCATCTCTAAGCTCTCGGCAAACGCCTCACTCACGAATGAACGTTGCGCTCCGGTATCGATAAGGATTCGTGCATCCTTCCCGTTAATCTTTAGTGTCCCTACATTCATGAACCATGTAAGACATCTTTCCTACCCTCCCTACTCATTTATAGAAGGTTGCAATGTTCACACGCACGTTAGGGATCAAGAAGAGGCCTTAACGTCGCAAAACGATGCGAAAAAATCGGGTTTCGGCAATCTGGGTGCCAGGCACGGCGTGCCCGGGGTAGGCACGATCGTGCCTGGCTCAGGAAAACGCCCTGGGGCTACTGCCTTGGAGGCACGATCGTGTCTGCCTTAGGCACGATCGTGCCTGGGTTGGAAAAATCCTGGGAACCACTGACTTGGAGGCACGATCGTGTCTGCCTTAGGCACGATCGTGCCTGGTTTGGAGAAAAACCCTGGGCAGCTACTGCTTTGTAGGCACGATCGTGTCTGCCTTAGGCACGATCGTGCCTGGGCTGGGAGTATTCCTGGGCAGCTACTGACTTGGAGGCACGATCGTGTCTGCCTTAGGCACGATCGTGCCTGGGTCCCAGCCGCCTGAAGTTGCCCGAAATCCCCCGGTTCGACCCCAAAACCTCGTGCAATGATCCTAGCGATTAGTATCCTCAATTTATGGACTAATTAAGGATAAAACACTAGTATATGAGAGGCAATACCTGCGACGGAGTCCGGGTTAGCTTGAGCATCCGCCTCCGTCATCGCATAGACCCTAGCCTGGGTCCTCCCTTGGTTCACGGATGGCGCGTTGCTCGCACTTGCTCCCCCTTGCCCCCTGCTTGCTTGAGAAGCCCCGGTCTGATTCCGTGTACCCGTCGGGCCACTACTTGGTCCCGATGTCCTTGCCCCGCCCAGTTGTGGGCAATGTGCCTTCAAATGCCCGGCATCCCCACATTGGAAACATCTAGGGGGGTCGCGACATTTACCGGAATGGTTCCTCTTGCAATTGTTGCAACGAGTTACCACTGAGGTCTGTGACCTCGAGCCTTGCCCACTTGGGCCTTGGTTCCCCCTTGATGGTGGCGGTGGTGCCCGGAAAGATCCTCCTCCGTGGTTCCCCCTTTTGTTGGAACCTTGGGAGCCATGACTCTCCCATTTTCTCTTCTTCGCCTCTTCGGCGTCTCTCTTCTTCCGTTCCTCCCACTGTTTCTCCCCTTTCAATGCTTGTTCAACCACTTGGGCGAAAGTCATATTAGGCAATTGCGTTGCCCTATCACGTATCTCCAAGTCAAGGGCGTCCCAAAAGTGGTTCACCATGCGGTTCTCGTCACAAGCATACTCCGGTATGTAGTCGGCGAGATCCCGGAACTTGTACTCAAGCTCCTTCACTGACATGTTACCCCCTTGGGTTAGGAGGGTGTATTCCCTCACCTTCTTATTCACCTCGAAATCAGAATAGTATTGGGCAAAGAACTCCCGTTGGAAGTCCTCCCAAACGACGGTCTCACCGTACTTGTTCTTGGTTCCATCCCACCACTTGGATGCCATCCCCTCGAGCAATCTTACCGCAATTCTCAGTTTGAGATTCGGCGCGATTTGCATGTCAAGGGCCGCTTCATTTAGCCTCTTGATCCATTGTGCTGCCACTGAAATGTCCCCTGCTCCATCAAAGGGTTTGCACCCCAAATCTTTTGCTTCTTTGATGTACTTGGAGATCCTTATGGTTGGACCTCCATCATTTTGGCCTCCACGTGGTTCCACATGGACTCTAGATGCACCATGACTTCCTCCTCGTGAAGCCATGCCCGAAGCTTGCCCAGCCCGGCGCCTTCGGCGTTCCCTCCTCTCTTCACGCTCACGGTGATATTGTTGGAGCAGCGCCTCTATTCTTGCTAGGGAGTCATTCTCCCCCTCTTCATCGCTCACATCATCGTCATCCCCTTCGTAAGGGGTCTCAACCGGCTCGGTCCCCGGTTGGTAAGTCGAGTCCTCATAGGACCAGTAGGTTTCACTTTCTGTGTCGACATGACCGTCACTCACGGTCTGCGATCGGCCTCCACGGCCCGCTCCTCTAGATGCCCTAGAGGTCCTTCGACTGCCCTGTCCAGTCTCCTCTGGTACACGGCCGGTCGGGTTTCTCCTAGTAATCCTGCTACCACGGTCCATTTCTGAAAGAAATTGGGAAAGAGTCGTTAGACTCGTATCAAATGTCAATTGACGGATAGGTACTTAAGACACATTTTGGCTCGAGTCACTGCCATACCAATTGCTAAGGGTACCATCTTAACAATTAGAGACCTTGCAACCCAAGTACCAAAAGCTCTCCAAGTACAAAACTTCTATGCTCATGGTTTTCAAAATCTTTTCAAAAAAGAGAATTTTGAGACTTCATTATGAAGTTTATGGACTAGGGCTCTGATACCAACTTAATTGTCACGCCCCGGACCTCCCCGGACACGTCAACAACCCGCCGTACGATACGAATAGTCAACCGCAGTCCAACACATTCATATTATACAAGGCGTCATGAATATCATTCACACATAAGTCATCCATAAACATACATAATAAGCAATTCAATACGCAGCGGAAAACATTGTTTAAAACAAAGGGCCACACAGGGCAAACATGAGCACGCAGGCTCTAAAGTAAAATATCCATGAGCATGTTTATTAATGTTCTAAAACTGAATGGAGGAAGCACGAACCAAGTCTTCTCTCCGGGGAAATCACTCGGGCAACGAGCACAGGAAGCAAGCTCTAGCCTCAACCTGAAATGGTGGTGGGACGCCCCCGAAGGGGTCAGTACTCTATACGGCTATAAAGTACTGGTGTGGCAGGCATCTAATAGATATACAACAAGTATTTCAAGCACAAGACCCTCAAATAGGGTGATAGTATATTATGATTGTAACCCTAAGTTACCCATTTGAAAATATACTTACTTTAGGTAAAAGTCAAGTAGTCGGCCCGTGGGCCCATGTTCATTTAGAAATCACCATTCCCATTTCCCGTGGCTACAAGCCACGATACTCAATAGAGTCCAACCCTAACACATGACATTGTATTCTAGAGCTCGGCTCTACTACATCACCATACAATTCATGTCACTCGGGTCAATTCCTTACCTTGCGTTCTAGAGCTCGGCTCTATTACATCACCACGCAAGCCCTAGAGCTCGGCTCTAGCTATACAATACATAGACTACAAGTCTACACCTTACATGCATTCTAGAGCTCGGCTCTACTACATCACCATGCATTAAGGTCCAATTCTCAAGCAACCCTATGCCTAGAATTGACATATCATTAAACTGCCATGGGTCATCCTTAAAGACTTCCCATAACTTAACCTTAGTTCCATACTAAGTTATTATATACACTTGAACTATATTCAAGCACCTTTCATACAATCCAATCCCTAGGATCAATTTAATCAACAAGTTCCAATAATCACTAACTAGTATTTCAATACTATTAAGATTATTGTTATCATACCACTATCCTCTTTATTTGTAATTCTCTACATAATTACAAATATGTAGCAGCAACTTAAGTATTCAATCACAATACACAAATATTCATTTATGTATCCAAATACTTCATACATGAGCAAAATACCTATTTCGCAAAAACAGTTCATTTATACTCATTAAATCTCATGTTATTCATACATTCTCAAATCATTTCAATTTTCATTCTTTGGCAACTATATCAATATTTCATCAATATATGATCATCATAATCCATGAAAAATAATGATTTAAGCATTTAGGTAATCTCATGCTTAACCTACAAGTTGTAAGCAATTAGATGTCAATCCTCACCTCGATTGAGCTTTAAACTTTCCCTTCTTGGTCCAATGGTCAAAGCTTTGGTCAAGGTGGATTTGGAACTGATTCCTTGCTCAAATATGAGTGTTAAACAGCCTCCTCAAGTGCTAGTTCAACCCTTAATCGTTGATACGAAAACAGCCCCTAGAACGGGTGTTTCCCGGTTAACTCGTTTCCTAGTTTTTCCAAGATTTGCTCTAGGTTAGTATCTAACCTTTCCAACAATTAAAGTCACATAATAATAACATTTTTATACACTTCAATCAGTTTATAATAGTTCTTCAATCATTTATATGATTTAGACAATAGAGAGGAAGGTTTTGGATTCAAACTTACTTTGAATACAAAAACGTATTCTGCGAGGTCGTGTTTTGCTCGGTCGATTTGGAGGCCTTCCACTACTCCGATTGATGCAAACCAGACCTTCGAGGATTCCTCGTCTTGAGAGCTTTCTTTGGGTATATTATACGCCTTATTTGGATGTGTATAACTCGAGATATGAAGCAAACAGTCTCAGCACTCTCACAGCTCGAGTTCACAGACCACTGCTCGTTCCAGATTGATTTTTGGATGATAAGCTCTCTCTCCTCGAACAAAGACCACTCAATTATGAAACTACACTTCAAGAGCTATCCAAGGACACCTCATACACGTTATTTGGTTGAGGATAGCTCCTATAATGAGTGGAGACAACCAGCACACCATTTTGTGCGAAAATAGGGATGGTGGCCCAACATTTGATTCCTATCAAGTCTTGTGCAGCTCCTCCCCATGGTGGTCGGCCAAGGTAAGTTTCCTAACCCATTTTTATTTGTCTTGCAGGTACTAATATCATGTGGAGTGGTTCCCAATTGATCCCAATCATTTTGGGATCCAAATTATCTACCAATACTTCCAAAAATGGGGAAGATGGGTCCTATTGTTTTATCTTTTGTCAAAGATGTCTTTTTGTACTCATCCTAATTTATTTAGCACAAGTCAACTTCCTAAATCACATTATTGATCTCCAATATGTGTAGGCTCATCCCAATAATTTACACGATGAAAATTACAAAAGAATGCGGGTTTGAACAATACAATATTCAATCATGTACTTCGTAAAATATTAATCGTTTCTTCCATTGCTTTGAAATCGGAAATTCAATACATCACTTTTGAATTTTTAAATCGAATTTTCAAGGACGTTCGGGTGCGGTGTCACACCAAACCTAACCTGAACCCAGTACAGTAAGAGGAAACTAACATAATCGAAGGGAAGGAATACTGAAGAGATCCATATAGTAAGCCCGCTTAGCTAATGGCGGAAGAGAACCCAGGTTTAGAAAAATCTTATCTGGTCCAGAATGGGCCTGCGCTAGAAAATGTGCTGCCCAATTGCCTTGTCTCGCAGTATGTCCAAATGTAATACCCTCCTGATTTGCAATAACCAAGCTTTCCTGAATTAAAGACCTCCAACTTCGCCCACTCTTGCCTGCCAAAAACTCCATAGCCAGAGCTGAGTCCGACTCAAGCTTGAAGCGACCAAAACCATCTCGCACCGCCCTTCTTAGAGCATAGATAATCGCCTGTATCTCAGCATCAATTGGAGATGAAGCTTCCAAATCAAAACTGACAGCCCAGGCTAGCTCGCCATTTGGTTTTCGAAGAATCGCTCCCCCCGCAGCAATACCAGATAAGAAACGAGCATCAGTGTTTAATTTCATTCCTTCCTTAGGCCTGTTCCACTTTATCGCCTGAATATCAAATCTCTGTTTGTGAAAATCCCTTCTAATTAAGTGCTCTTCATATAAAATGTTATCAATGGACTGAAACTTCCTCTCCTTGAACAACTGGGTCCAGTCTTGCGTATAATGTTTAATTGAGAGAATAGTTTGCTCAATCGATGGAATATTGTTGCCTTTCCCCCAAATATGATTTGAGTAAATTTTCCAGATGTGCCAACATATAATGCCTGAAATATTATGTCTAAAAACATCAATCAAATCCTATGACCCTGCCTTAAGCCAGCAATTTATGAAAACCTAGGAAATAGAGCAAAAAATTGCAGGAATGGGGATACCCAGCAGTCCCAAAAAATAACCCCATATAGGTTTAATTTCTTTACAAAGAAATAAAACATGATCCAATGAATCACTGTTATTCCTGCACATAGGGCATATAGAAGGATAAATCACCATATTAAATCTGCTCAACTTATCAGGGAAGGGAAGTACTCCTTTTATGATTTTCCACTGCAAAAGTTTAATTTTGAGCTCTTGCCTAGGATTTCAAATGTGTTTGAATGACAGAGTTGGTAGAGCTTGGTTTCTAACTTCATTGTAGGCGTATTTTAAAGGAAACTGACCAGATATTTCCTCATTCCAGATCAGAGTACCAGAAGGCAATTCAGAGCACAAGGAGGAAGCATAATCATGAATGTGGCAAATTCTTCTCCATACCGAGGAGTCAGTCACTCTAGGTATCATATCTCCTTCTCTTGCGTACCTATTTCTTATGAATTCAGTCCAAATGGAATCCCCTGTTTTCCATTTCCACCAGAGTTTTAGAGAAAATGCTTTTTCAATATCTGTCAAAGACCTTATGCCCAAACCCCCTTCATCTGTTGGAAGGCATAAGTTATCCCATTTGATCCAGTGATGCTTAGGTTTATCCCATGAAGATCCCCAGAAAAAAGAAGCCATCTTACTGTTTAGCACTTTGATAACTTTTTTTGGCAATGTATCAACTGCTAAGGCATGCAAGGGAATGGAATTGAGAACATGTCTAATTAAAATGAGTCTTCCTCCCTGCGATAGATTTTTTGCTTCCAAGTAGTGAGCTTATTCTCAAATTGCTAAATGATTTGACCACAAAAATTGAACTTGTTGATCCCTTTATGCAGATTGACACCCAAATATCTTACTAGAAGAGTATCTTTTCTCATGCCCAGCAGCTCTTTCATGCGATTACTACGATGAAGAGAAGTTTTACCACAAAGGAATGAACTCTTTTCAAAATTGATTGTTTGCCCTGAAGAGTTCTGGTAATCCTTTAAGAAGTTTTTGAAATTGAGGATTGATCTTGCTTCACCATTAAGAAATATTAGCAAATCATCTGCAAAACCCAAATGAGAGATAGGGTAACCATGCACCCCCATCCAGAAAGGCTTAATTCTACCTTGAGATATTAGAGAATTAAATCCCCTAGAAAATGCCTCAGCTGCAACGATAAAAAGGAAGGGAGACAAAGGGTCCCCTTATTTGACCCCCCTGCTTGGCTTAAAAAAACCATAGGGAGTTCCATTAACCAGGACAGAGAGATGAGTAGCCTGCAAATTATTCAAAATTAGTTTGACAATTTTCTCTGAGAAGCCAAATTTCAGCATGATTTCAGCAAGGAATTTCCAAGAGACTTTGTCAAAAGCTTTGGCCATATCTAGTTTAATCACCAAATTAGATCCTCTGACTTTTTTTATCAATACTGTGTATCATCTCCTGAGCAATTAGCACTTGATCTGCGATGTCTCTTTGCTTCATGAAACCAGCCTGTTCTTTAGAGATGACCTTAGGCAAAATATTATTCAATCTAGAAGCAATAATCTTGGAGCATATTTTACTCAAGAAACTGGAAAGACAAATGGGTCTAAAATCTGCAAAAGTAGAGGGGTTGTCCTTTTTGGGAATAAGAACAATTAGAGCACTAGACATCCCTAGGGGAATGGGGTGTCCCAAGAAGAATTCTTGTACTGCCCTTAACACATCAAGCCCCACTATAGACCAATATATTCTAAAAAAATTACCATTATACCCATCTGGTCCAGCTGCACTATTTTGATTTAGATCCCAGACTGCACCCTTAACCTCCTCCAAATTGGGTAGAGCAGTAAGTATAACATTATCCGCATGTGATATTATGCTAGGGATACAATCCAAAATATTGTTTGAAACATTATCTTCTTGTGCAGAATATAGAGAAGTGAAGAAGTTCATAGCAGCAACCCCAATGCCATCTGGATTAGAGAAAGTATGACCCTCAGAGTCACCAATAGAGGTGATGACTTGTTTCCTGATTCTGACCTTGACAAAGGAATGGTAAAAGTGTGTATTGGAATCCCCTTCTTTAATCCACCTAATACGAGCTTTTCGCTTCCAATACTTTTTCTCCAAATTATATTTCTGAATCAAAAGACTTCTTTTTAAAGACCAGGCTTCTCTATTTTCCTCACTTTGGATTTCTTCAAATGCTTTTTCTGCCATCAAAACCTCCTGCTCACATATCTTAATGTCCTCGAAGATGTTTCCAAATACATTTTTGTTCCAGGACTTAAGATATTTTTTAAGAAGTTGCATTTTAGTTACCATACCTCTCACACCCCCTGCTATAGCATAAGAATTCCATTTTCTTTCCACAAATGACATGAAACTCAGGTGGGAGGTCCACATATTTTGAAAACGAAAGGGCTTAGGACCAGATAAGTTGTTATTTTTGAACTGAATCGTAATAGGGCTATGATATGATGGAATTCTGTTTAAAACAGAGACATTTATGAAATCAAACCTGTCCGGAAAAGAAAGTTGCATGAATCGTTTCATGCAACTTACATTCTTTTAGATCAACACAATTAGATAAATTTCCCGCATATCCATCTGGCATTCGAATGTTATGTAACCACTCACACACCGCCCTCCGTTGATCATCATTGCATGTAAAACTTGCCTTTGGCTTCAAAACCTTTCCACCATTATCTACACTTAGTTAGATGTTAGATGCATGTAGTCGAGCAATATAAAAGAATGTCAAAGCATGAATGTCGCATAGATGTCGTCTCCGCCAGGATTTGGAGCCGTTTGAAAGCAATTGGCACCTAGATATGAATGTCAAAGCATATGTTCCATTTTTTTTTATCTTTTTGTTATAGCCTTTGTCAATCTGTTGGTTAAACAACTTCATACGTTATAACACGCTATATGTGGTTAAGTAAACAACTTCATACATTAAACAACTCAGACATTAACATCTGTTACAAGCTTCATACATTATTGCATTCATAAGCACATTACACACAACAAAAACACCTAAAAAGAAAGTAAACAAAATTACATCTCGTTCAGTCATTTCATCAAATACATTGCAACAACTTAAACCTAAAACCTTATACTTGCAATGAAGCTGAAAATAAACATGACCAGACAAACTAGCTTTCAACACACCAATTCCACGAACACAACTCTTTATTTCAGACTCCATCTCCAACTCTTTCATCTAAATATCTTCTTCAAGTCTTCCAACCTTCTGAAAAACAGCATCTGCTTTTTTCAGACAAGTAAGACACGTGTCTTCCACAACCCACTCAAAAAAATTACATTGTTGGTCGCCCCCTCCCGAATAACGGCCACATCCATGAATTTTTCCCCTCTATTCTTCTTTGTTGCCGTCCAAATCGGTACTTAGACTTCACAGTCTCACCTCTTGATTTTTTGTCTTCCATCCATCGCAGATGAGCTCGAATTTGAAGAACATGTCCTCTCTTCTTATCACCCTTTGCGTCATGGAAGGGAGCGACCAGATTACTATTTGTATTGATAACAGGGTCCGCACAACTTAATAAAGTACAGAAAATGACATGGTGTTTAAAGATTGGGATTACGAGCAATGTAATAACACTTATGGCCAAAAAATCC